TCCCGGGCTTCATTTGCGTAAAGCCAGCCGGAGCCATTTTTAAATGTCGGCTAGTTCGGACCCCGTGCCGCGCAGCTACACACGGCACGGACTAGCTAGTTTGGATTAGGCTTCTAATCCGAACTAGCTGTACGCCTCGTGGAACGAGGAACGTCTAGACTACATCCAGTTCTGTCAACAAAGCAAGCCACTTTGTCGACATGAGCGTGTAGACGCAAAGGACAGTGCAGATGCAATAATGCCTTCTGTCAACAGAACTCTGTCGACAAAAGGCGTTATTCCTCATAGAATGAGGCTTACCACCGTCGACAAAACTGCCGAGTTCTGTTGACGTTATGTCGACAGAACTTGGCGATACTGTTGACGCAAGTATAGTTTTGTCGACAAAAGTCTAGACACACCCACAGTGCGGAAATAATTCTTAAAGGGGACCGCATGCTGTGGGGAATGACCACCGGCCTAGCAAGTGGTCTAATCCCACGTATAATGATTTACTGTATGCCCTTGTAACTCACACACGTTCTGGGTGTTACGTACTGTCCCACCTAGTGGCACTTAGACCACTTACAAAGAGAGAAAGTCTCAGAGGGGTCGCCGGGTTAGTCTGTAACTTTAAAAACAACGTGCAGCTCTGCAGCACCTTACAGACTAAACTATATTCCATCACGAGCTTTCGTGGGTAAAACCCACTTCCTCAGATGAGTTGGAGTGGAAATGACAGCATCCAGTGTGTATATAACAGCAACATTGGTCAATTGTCAGACCCATGTTAATAAAGCTAATTGAGGCAGCCTTAGCTGAGAGCCAGCCAATTTTCGGCTCCTGCACTAAGCTCCAGAGGTGCCAGGTTCAGTTCTGCCTGTCGGTGTTGCACCCTAGCACAAGTTACTTGATTTCCCCAGCCTTGTCCACACTAAGACAATTACCCAGTGTCCACATCTGAGTCGGTGCTGTGGCTTGAGAAATGGAGGCAATGAGAGAGCGTCTCTCTTATTCGGGGTCCTGCAGACAAAGGGAGAGTCCTGCCTTCGTTCCCTGGCCGGGGGTGCCCTTGGTGCAGCGTGAGTCTGTCAAGAGGCATGGCTAAACTGAGCTCCGAGGGCGCAGGCTCTGTTGTCCACTGGCCCAAGATGGCGCAGCCCCCAGGCTCTCTCACCTGTGCAGGGCCAGAGAAGCCAGAACTGGCTCCATATTGGTCCCCTCTCCCTTCTCTTGCCCCCCCTCCCCAGTATACTGCGTAATGATCCCTGCTTACTTGCCTAGCAGGTGCCGTGAGCACCGACGGATGACTATTGGCCCACAATGCACTGCACACACATGGATACTGTAAAAAGGCTACCCCAGTCTGGAGCATGATTGCTCAGCGGAGCGTGTAGATCGGTTTGTTTCAGTCACTTGGAAACTTGCCCGAAGAAGGAAGACAGGTAATAGTCACGGGACACAGGGGTGTGCTGAATAACATTCCTACAGGTTGAAACTCTCGAGTCCAGAACTCTCTGGTCTGGAAACAGTCGTTGTCCGGTATGATTTTACTTAGCCCGATGTCCACTTTTCATGCGTGTGGCCTAGTTTCCCGTAGTCCCATCAAGTTTGTTTACAGCCCGCAGTCCTGGCTCTTAGTATTCTGTACTGATATTTAGCTCTAATTTACCCCTCAATGTCTTCTAAGAGCCCAGCAAGCAGTAGCAGTGTCGGTGATGCTGCTAGACAATATTGACCTCCTGTAATCCAAAAAACTTTGGCTTTCCCATAGCTCCCCATTGTCTGACACAGGCGGATTTATTTCGCTAGCTCCATGTTGACCGAGGGGCATTTACATGATTGACAGGGCATGCGGAAGACAGGCTGTGCTCTCTTTCCCCGTCACAGCCGGGAGGCTGAAGTCACCTGTTTGCAATTCCTTGAGTTGCTTAGCGATCACACACAACAAGGCGAGAGTGCAGGATGTGTGGCTGCACAGCCAGCTCGCCCAACTCTGCCCTGTCCTCCAGAAACCAGCCTGCTGCTGCTTTGACCCAGAAAGCAACTTCAGCTGCAGCAAACATGCCCAAGGGGTAAGTGATGGTTTTGTTCTTCACACTGTAGTAACCCAGCAGATGTCTTCCCGTTCCTTATGCAGACGGCTTCGTCTGTAGCCATCACAAGAGATGGATTCCACAGCAGGATGGCGCGACGCTAATTAGTTTCCAGCACTTTAGAGAAAGGAATCAGGCTTTAAATTGTAATCGCAAGTAGGAAGAGGCCTTCTCACCAAAATGCCTTCTGGTACAAATACAACCCACATATGCTACACGCCCAAAGTGGAAAATGCACAGACCCGGCTGTGTTTCGGCACTCACAATGAAGTCTGAACATTTCTAATTCCTGTGTGCTTTGAAAACGGCATTTACCAAATGAGCCTCCGTTACCGCAGAGGTTGTCTACTAGCAAGCTCGTAAGCAGGAATTTCTGTGGTGGGGGTGCAAGCCGGGGGAGGGGCTGGTGGCTGCCCCGCCCCCATGGCCCAGCCCCGCCCCTGGCCTCCCTCCTGGGGGAGGAGGGAAATCAGTCTCAGTTTTCCCCTGGCCAGAGCATGGGGGAAGGAGGCTGGGGCAAAGCTTGGAGGACCGTGGGGGAGGGGGATGTTTGCACCCTTTGCACCCCTCTGCATATGGGCCTGACCAGGGTACGCTGTGGACTTCCACAGGGTACATCCACTCCTCTAGATATTTGCCTAGTTTTACCACAGGCGGCATAAAAAGCACTAGCAAGTCAGATCAAAGTAAAATTTCAGACAGTACAGCTCTGCATACTATCCGGTGAAATGTCCGCACAATATTTATGTTCCAGTTGATTTACTTTATAATGATATAGCAAAACTGAGAAAGCCAGCCGTTTGTCGGTAGTACTGTGCGGTGACACTTTTCTATTTTTATGTCTGATTTTGTAAGCAAGCAGAGAGGTGAACATTGTGGCTACATGTGGCAGGATTTTCTGGAAATGCTTTTAACGGAAAAGTTTTCTGTTGAAAGCATTTTCTGAAAAGCGCATCTAGATTGGCAGGATGCTTTTCCGCAAAAGTACTTTTCGCAGAAAAGCGTCCGTGGCCAATCTATACGCGGTTTTCCGCATAAAAGCCCCGATCGCCTTTTTCACGATCGGGGCTTTTTTGCAGAAAACAGTACTATGCTGTCTACACTGGCCCTTTTGCGCAAAAGTCTTTCGGAAAAAGACTTTTGCCCGAACGGGAGCAGCATAGTTTTTCCGGAGAAGCACTGATGATTTTACATGAGATCGTCAGTGCTTTTCCGGAAATTCAAGCGGCCAGTGTAGACAGCTGGCGAGTTTTTCTGCAAAAACAGATGATTTTGCGGAAAATCTTAGCACTCTAGACGCAGCCTGTGAATACGTGAGACAAATCCGACTCCGGACAAGGTACGGTCGATTGGAATGACTGAGAACCACTGCGTTGCAGTTTGTTCCACTTATTGCCTACTTCGCACAGACTATGGGCCAGAAGCTGGAACAGGGGACCAGAAGTTCACTGTTTGGTTTTTTTGTGATGGTAGTTTGTAAAGAATATTGATCTTTCCATCACGGAGGAAACTCATTCCCCTCTGAGGCCCCCTGCGGAATATGGCTGTGGTATGGAATAAAGTAAATAGAAATGAGTCAATTAGCTCTGATCTCCAGCAGGGAGTTGTGTCGAAATAACCCCCCTTGGGTCGAATTTATAAGCGGAGTGTCCACACTACCAAGCCCGTTATTTCGAAATAACGGGCTGGTTATTTCGAAATCTGGACTCCTGCTTTCCTCAGGGAGTAACGCTAATTCCAAAATAGTTATTTCGAAATAGCAGTAGTGTGGACTCTCCGGTGCCGCTATGTCGAAATAACCACTCCCCAGAGTAATTCACGGTAATTACTCCCCAGTGCTTCCTGGGGTTCTAAGCTGGAGTAGCGCGTCCACGTAATTACTCCCCAGTGCTTCCTGGAGCTCTAAGCTGAATTAGCAGAGCCACATTAACAGAGCCTGCTCGGACTAATTTTGAGGCTTCCTCAAAGTGGGGACGTGCTATTTTGATTTTATTTCAGGAGTTATTACATCGATTTCAGTTATTTCGAAACCGTTTCCTAGTGTAGACCTGCCCAGAGTTTGTGAAGAAACTAGACGCACAGGGCTCACCGGGATAACTGCATTTCTTCTCTCTTATTGCCAGCAAACCTATCTCCAAGCAGCTGGCTGCTGTGAAAGGTAAGGACACCTGTTCCGCAGGGTTCCGTGATCCTTCGGGGTTCTGATTTCCGAGACCAAAACATCCACTGCAGGAAATTGTGGCAATCCCAAGATCGTACAGTTCAGGCCACAGCCCGAGGCAAATAGAATGGGAAGAGCTGTGAGCAAGCCCTCTGCCCTTCGCTGCTGGAGTTTCCACAGACAGACGTTTCCCCCAGCGAGAGCCCTTTTAGGGGCATGGCCGTGGAATTAACCCCTGACCGTGCTATGTGTCCAGAGGAACCGGAGGCGGGAGGGGGGGGTGTACATCTCACACCCCGTGCTGCCTCCAACCTGGTCCGTTCCCTCCTACAGAGAGCTCACCTCAGGGGCCACGGGGAGTAGAGCTGCTGCCTCGTGAGGTCACAGGCACCACTTGACCAATGGGGAGCCACTGTCCGCACAGATCTCTGGGGCATGGCAAGGCTCTCCGTGTTCCCTCAGGGTGGACCCAGGTCTGAGGGAGCTAGCCCGTTGCCCCACGCATTGGCTGGGAACCTGCTGCCAGCTGCTTCTGGGGCGTAGCCCGGTCGGTGGTGCCTGGACAGGCAGAAAGCTGCGCTAGCCCCCTCTGCACCGCTGACCGGGAGCCGCTCGAGATAAGCTGCCCCGCCCCATCCCTGACCCCCCTCAAAGCCGGAACCCCCTCCTCCACACCAACGCGCTCCTCCTCCACCCTGCCTGGAGCCCACACTCCAGTCAAATGATGTTGGGTCGCGAAATCAACAATTTTCTTCAACTGAATCATGAGGAAAAAAAGTGTGAACCCCCCTGGGTTAGGGAGTATTTCCATCCCTCGTGTGCATTGCGCAGCCCTGGGCTTGAGATCAAGGCACCTGACAGTCTTAGCCAATCAGATGGTTCTGCTATGTTCCAGCTGCACTGTGATTGGGCAGGCCCAGCGGCAGGCTCTCACGCCCGGGCCTTATCTTATCACAAAGTTTTCAATAACACTGCAAACTTTTGTAATGTCTCCCTCCTCCTGTCCCTCCATTCTCAGACCTGGAGAAAGCCTTTGCTACAGTGGCCTTGGTTTACAACAACTCGGCCGACCCCGAGGGCAAACTCAGCAACGCTGAAACCAAAACCCTGCTGCAAACCCAGTTTGTGAATTTCATACAGGTAGGCGCATGCAGCGCGGGTGTCCAGGACCACGCCCTGTGTTGGTTCCCCCTAGGACGGGCAGGGGCTTAGCCCAAGATATTACCTTTGTGCACGGTTCACGCAAGTGCAGCAGTCTTGGAAGTGTGACAAGACTGGACTATCCAGCTCCCAAATGCCTTCCAGCACAAACCCATCCCCCCGTCTGCCTTTCACCTAGGGTACGTCTAGACTGTGGGGGTTTTCCGGGATACCAGAGAGATCCCAGAAAAACTCTGCCACATTCAGGGATCACGTGTGCTCTTCCGTATTTTTTTTAAAAAGAGCAAACGTGCTTTTTCGGGGAGCCCTGTATACCTCATTCTAGATGGGGCCAAATGGCAGAAAAGCCTCTTCCAGAAAAGCAATCAGAAAAAGCTATAGGCTGTGGTTAGACTGGCCAGTTTTTCCGGAAAATCAGCCGCTTTTCCGGAAAAACTTGCCGCAAAAGCACTGACTTCCTACTGTAAGAAATCAGCGCTTTTTGCGGAAATACTATGCTGCTCCCGTTCGGACAAAAGTCCCTTTTGCACAAAAGTTTTGCGCAAAAGGGCCAGTGTAGACAGCTGAGATTTGTTTTCTACAAAAAAGCCCTGATGGCAAAAGCCCCAATCGCGAAAATGGCGATCGGGGCTTTTTTTGCGGAAAACCGCGTCTGGATTGGCCACAGGTGCTTTTCCGCAAAAAGTGCTTTTGCGGAAAAGCGTCCGTGCCAATCTAGACGCTCTTTTCCGAAAATGCTTTTAACACAAAACTTTTCCGTTAAAAGCATTTCTGGAAAATCATGCCAGTCTAGACGTAGCCATATTGTAGACGTAGCCCTAATGACCAACAAAATGATTCCTCGGCCGGTGAAGGCATGTTGGAGGCTACAAATACAAGACACATAAACTTGCCTTGCAAATCCCCAGTGAAATTTTAATGACTGTGTAAATACATTCTCGATGGATTCCTTGTCTGTATTCCTAGCTACCTCCGTATGCAACACAGGGGAAGAAATGGAGAAACCCCTGTTAATGCATCTGCCTGCATCTCTATCCAGAAAGTAGCTCACAAGTAGCTTACTAGGACACCTACAAAACACCCGGTAGTTTGCATTTGTGGTAGGATGCAAAGTGCGCACATATTTAATTACGAGTCTGCAATTGCATCATAAACACCTGACATGAAAGTCAGGCTTAGATACCCCCAAGGCAGTTGAAACAAGATACATTGCAGAAGCACAAATGGCATCTCTAGCATATAAAGAGCTGAAAGCACCATGTTATCAATGCCTCATTTTTGGGAGTGTTAGTGACAGCTCAACAAGGGATCTTGTCATCTCAACCTTCCTAGCACTGTCTGAAATAAACATGCAGTAGGAGAGAAGAAAGGGAACTAATTGAAGGTTGAAATAATGTATTATTTCCTTTGGGTTCTAAATATATGGGGCTGGATTCCATGATGCACATAGCTTCCATTGGATGCAAAAGAGAGGACAGCCTATTGGAGAGCCAAATACAGCTGCCTGAATTTCCATTTGGCTCCAGCACTGGGTACAGTTTAGAGCAGCCTCGAGGCTGCTCAAACATGCACAGTTTAGGAATAGGAATTATCCATGCTTAGGAAATAAAGATCAGATTTTTTACCAGCAGTCCTGGCCAGCCGAGTTACAGACAAACAAAGGAATATTAAAATATTATGAGGAACAAAACAATCCTAACAATTGGTACAGGTCCATTGCTAGATAGAAATAGTAGAATTGTTCATAATAATGCAGAAGTGGCAGAAGTGTTTAATAAATATTTGTGCCTGGTATTTAGGCATAAGCCAGATGATGTATTCATATCCCCTGATGATGACTAAATGTTTTCCATTCTAACAATAACGCAGGAATATGTTAAACAGCAGCCACTAAAATCAGACTAGATCCAATTAACTTGTACCCCAGACTTTGAAAAGAGCTGGCCACCGATGGACAATGCAGGAGCTCTTCTAGATGTTCGGAAGAAAGCTAATGTGCCAATAGTCAAAAAGGATAAAAAGGTGTGTTAGTCTGACATCAATCCTGGCCAAAATGAGGAAAAGATTGATACAGGACTTGAATAATAAAAAATTAAAGGAGAATAATATAATGAATGGCACCCAACACAGGTTTATGAAAACAGATTCATATCAACCTACAGGTTGAACCTTTCTAGTCCGGCACCTTTGAGACCTATCCGGTGCCAAACCAGAGAATTTGCAGGAGGTCAGTATTGTCTAGTAGTATTACCAACATTTCCACGGCTTCCTGGGCTCTTAGAAGACATTGAGGGGTAAATTAGAGCTAAATAACAGCACAGAACACCAAGAGCCAGGACCGGTGGCTGTAAACAAATGTTTTGGAACTGTGTGAAACTTGGGCATCCATGAAAAGTGGGCATCTAGCTAACTAAAAATTGTGCCAGACCGCGGATGCTGCCAGACCAGAGAGTTTCAGATTAGAGAGGTTCAACCTGTAACTTGATATCTTTATAGATGAGATTACAAGTTTGGATGATCAAGGTAATAGTTTGGATGAATATACGTAGTTTTCTGTAAAGCATTTGATTTGGTACCAAGTGATATTTTGATCAATAAACGAGAATGATTCAAAATCAGCATTACATAGGACACATTAAATACAGTGAAAATTGGCTAACTGGTATGCCTCACCATTTAGTTGTAACAGGGAGATAACTAAAGGGGTCTATTTCAAGTGGGGTCCTATGGAGGTCAGGAAAGATTCAATCTAATTAGCTTAGCAAAGTAAAAGGTTACGGTGTGACTTGATCGCATTTGCTAAGTATCTATATGGAGAACAGAAATTTGGTATAATGGGGCTGTCCAATCTGGCAGACACAGGTTTAAGAAGATCCAGTGGTTCGTTGGTGAAATGAAACAAATACAGGTTATAAATAAGGTGCTAATGATCGACAATGAGGGTAGTTAATCTCTGAACATCTTCCCAAGTTTTGTAGTAGAGGCCCCATCAATGGAAATTTACAAATCAAGATTGGGTGGGGGCGCGGTTTCTAAAAGATCTGCTCTAGTTCACACAGGAATTAATTAAGAAAAGTTCTGGGGCCTGTGTCATGCAGGAGCTCAGACTACGTGATCTCCACAGTCCCAATGTACTCATCTCTTGTGAGTCATGCAGAAAATTCCGTGACTGGCATAGCTACACGAACCTGGATAGAAAGGCAGGAAAATGCATCAACGGGTAATAAATATGTTTCTATTTTAGAGAAGAGGCTGTTGAAAAGGAATTGCATGTTCCATTTTTTTTTAATTAAAATTCCCCCAGGGCCAAGAAAGCAAACCCAAGCACCAGGAACTCATGTCTGCCCTGGAAGAGGGTCAAGACAACAAAATGGATTTTGAAGATTTCGTGATCTTGCTCCTCAGCCTCGTTCTGATGTCAGACCTCCTGCAGGAGATCAGAAATGTCAGACCCACAAAATGAGCCATCCCGCATAAGGAGATTGAGAGCGATAGCTGTGTACATAGTGGAAGGAGCAGCCATCAGTGGGAAAACAGGAATCAGTGGCTTTGTAAATATTTTGATGGAAGGATGCGATTTCATTTTAAAGGGACTACATTTGGTTCAAATCTGTACAGAAGGCCAGTACAGTGCCCATGTCCCACTGAAATGCTGCGTAAGTGATGCATAAGCCTTAAATCCATCGCCCATAGTAACTACCACGATGTCTTCACTGCATTCTTTTTCCTGCCTAAAGTCAATTGTGCACCACAAATCTCTTTATAAAAGACCATCGCTTGTTTCCTTTAGATGCAATGTTTTAGATTTCATTAAGTGATCGTTGTTGAAGAAATCACGTGTTCAACATTCAGAATGCATCTGTCACACTGAGGTCACGAATCAAAGCCAAGTCTGTATTGGGAAGTTAGAGAAATAAGAACATAAAAATAAGAACATAAGAATGACCATACTTGGTCAGACCAAATGTCCATCTAGCCCACTGTCCTGTCTGCCAACAGTGGCCAATTCCAGGTGCCCCAGAGGGAATGAACATAATAGGGAATCATCAAATGATCTCTCCCCTGTCATCCATTTCCAGCCTCTGACAAAGAAAGTAACCCACCAAAATATTTAAGCTAATAAGTTTTTAGATATGTATTTATTAATTGATTCTTTCCTGGTGGCCAAAACTAAGACAACATGTATTTCTTTCGACATTTTTCAGTGTTTGGATGGAAAAAACTATTTCTTTTCAGGTTTGGGAAAACAATACAATTTTTTCTTGTTAAAAATGGAAATTTCCTAGAGAATTTTCCTCCAAATGTTTTAATAACTTTTTTAAAAATTCCCAGAAAACACCATTTTCCAGCCACCTCTACAAATTAGACTTTGTAGAACCTTCCACTCATAAAAGACTAAATGGAATTTCCATTACATCATTTACGTAATAATGACCTTCTTAGCACTTAGATGTTTCACCTTCCACCCAAAAGACTTAGCACTAATGGACCTGCACTGTCCACTCAAGAAAGAGATTTTGGAGTCTTTGTGGTTAATTCCTTGAAAACATCCAAGCTAGCAATGCTTGGAACCAGGGGCAGATGACCGTTTTGCGGGGCCCCGGGCAGCATAATTCCGCGAGGCCCCCCTCATGCGCGGGGAGCTTTCTGAAGCGTGGGGCCCGGGGCGGCCGCCCCATTCACCCTGCTGTATATCCGCCACTGCTTGGAACCATTAGGAAAGGGAGAGATAATAAAACCGAAAATCACATAATGCTACTATGTAAATCCATGGTATCCCGGCACTCAGTTGTCCCATCGCAAAATGACATATATTAGAATAGGAAAAAGTACAGAGAAGCACATCAGAAATGATTCGGGGTAGGGAACAGCTTCTGCTTGAGGAGAGATTATAAAAGACTGTGACTATTAAATGTCTCAGAGGGCTAGCTGTGTTAGTCTGTAACTTTTAAAACAACAAGTAGTCATGTGGCACCATAGAGTAACTAAACTTTTAAAACAACAAGTAGTCATGTGGCACCATAGAGTCACTAAAATAGTATCACGAGCTTTCATGGACAAAACCCACTTCCTCAGATGAGATGGTCTTGATGATGAGATGAGATGTGGCTATTAAATTTAGAAAAGCTTCTGCTTGAGGAGAGATTATAAAAGACTGTGACTATTAAATGTCTCAGAGGGCTAGCTGTGTTAGTCTGTAACTTTTAAAACAACAAGTAGTCATGTGGCACCATAGAGTCACTAAAATAGTATCACGAGCTTTCATGGACAAAACCCACTTCCTTAGATGAGATGGTCTTGATGATGCACACTTTTTGTCGACAGAAGCTTTGTTGACAGTATCTAGTATCTAGTAGTCTAGATGTACCCTAAGATACGCAATTTGTGCTTTGCAAATTGCGTATCTTATTTCGCTTGTATTTTGAAATAGCTTATTTCAAAATTTGGCATGTCTACACAGCACCAAGTTTTGAAATAACACACTATTTCAAGACATCCCTTAACCCTCGAGGAACGAGGGTTACAGGGATGCTGGAATAGCGTGTCTGCTATTTCGAGACTGATCTCAAAGTAGCTACACTGTCATGTCAACAAAGCAGCTTGCTTTGTCGACAGAACTGGATGTAGTCTAGATGCTCTTTGTCGACAGTATCTATCGACAAAATTTCTGTCGACAAAACCCTGTAGTCTAGACGTACCCTAAGAGATGCAATTTGCACTTTGCAAATTCCGTATCTTATTTTGCGCTACGTCTAGACTACATCCCTTTTTCGTAAAAGGGATGTAAATTAGACGTATCGCAATTGCTAATGAAGCGGGGATTTAAATCTCCCCCGCTTCATTAGCATAAAAATGGCTGCCACTTTTTTTTGGCTCGGGGCTTTGCCGGTGAAAAGCGCCAGTCTAGACACTGATCTTGCAGAAAATAAAACCTTTTCCAAAAGATCCCTTAACCCTTAACCCTGGCTAAAGGAGCCCTGCCCCCACAACCCTACTGGGCATGCTCAGTTTGTAGCCCAGGTATAAAAGCCTGTGGAGAGGCTCAGTCTGGTCTGACTGCTGGAGGGGAAGGACCTCAGAAGGGAGCTCCTGACCAGCACCAGCCGGCCGCCCAGAGGGAAGACAGCAGAGACTCTAGGGTCAGTTGGGATGGCTCCATGGCTGTCTACAAGGGAGAAGCAGCCCCCAGGGAAATAGTGGACCTGGCGAGCACATGGGAAGACCCAGAGGGAAGACAGCGGAGACTCTAGGGTCAGTTGGGATGGCTCCATGGCTGTCTACAAGGGAGAAGCAGCCCCCAGGGAAATAGTGGACCTGGCGAGCACATGGGAAGAGACCCCATCGGACCAGGTAGGAAGTGGTCCAGGGAGGGTGCAGGAGCCGCCTCTCCCACCCTGGAATCCTTGGTGCATTTCGGACGGATTCCCCACCGAGGGAGTGACACGCCGTCCTGCCACTCACAGGGCCCTGGGCCGGGAACCGGTGGAGTAGGGTGGGCCCGGGTCCCCCTACCAGGGGGCAGCCCCCACCCCACCAGTTATTTCAGCTTGGGGTACGCAGGGGTGGGCTGTAGACCCTGATAGATCCAGAACTCGGGTTCCTACCCCCCTCAGGAGGGGGGAGGAAAGGCACCCCCAGGACAACACGTTTAAAAGACGTGAGGTAGCTATTTCGGGATACCAGAAATAGCTCCACTGTCTAGACGTTCCCTAAGGGATGAGATGAGATGACTGGATGGGTGGGATGTGGCAGAGGTCTATAAATTCATGACTGGTGCAGAGAAAGAGAATAAGGACGTGTTATTTACCCCCTCACTTACCACACGAACTAGGGGGCACTCGAGGGCTATGTCCACACTCGCGGCTTCTTGCACGAGTAATATGCAAATGAGGCTAAGCGTGGAATATCGCAAAACCTCATTTGCATACCTAATGCAAATGAGGCTAAACGTGGAATATCGCAAAGCCTCATATGAGTGTAGATGCTTCTTCTTGCGCAAGAGCCTCTTCTGAAAAAAATGGTGGCTCATTAGGTATGCAAATGAGGCTCGGCAATATTTCACACTTAGCCTTATTTGCATATTACTCGCACAAGAAGCCCCGAGTGTAGAGATAGCCGAGGGGATGATCAGGCAGCAGGTTTAAAACTCTCCAAGGGAAGTACTTTTTCCTGCAACACACAGCCAACCCTGTGGAACTTGTTGCCAGGGGATTTGGGGAAGGCCAAAAGTCCGACCGGGTTCAGAAAGGAGCTAGATAAGTTCCTAGGTCTGACAAGGGCGACAGGCCAAGAGAGGGATGCAATTCCCTGCTCTGGGTGTCCCTAGACCTCGCAGGATAATAGGGGATGGATCACTTGCTAACTACCCGGCTCTGTTCAGTCCCTCGGACCCACCCTGCGCTGGCTTGCTGGCAGAGAGACGTTCCCATTGGTGTGAACTAGCGTGGCTGTGTTTATGTTCTTAAAAAATAAAACAGCCCCTGGAGAGGTCAGCTAACGTAGGTCCCCCCGACAGCGATTCTGGACCCCAGCACAGTCAATTGACCCTCGGCCTCCCTCCGCCAGCCAGGGCCACAAACCTGCCCTCGCTGCATGGAGACGCCCCGAGCGCCTCCCCTCTGCCAGGAGAGAACCAGGCCGCCAACCCCCTCCTGCTTGGGTGAGTCCTGGGGCAGCCACACAAGGCCTCCCATCTCTTCCCTGCCTTGGACCCAGCTGCCCGCTTTGATTAAAAGACGCTTTTGATCTGCCCCAGACAGGTTCTGGGGCCCAGTAACCCCACCCCGGAACCTGCCCGGAGCATCTCAAAAGCATCCCCCGCACAGTCACCGAGTCGAAATCAGCCGCGCTGGGATGTGAAAAGGCCCGTGCTAACCACTGCCCAAGAAGTGGGTGGGGGGCTAGTGAAACTGACACAACCCAGCCTGAATGAGGGCCAGATCCTTGACACATCAGGAGGTGGCTCCACTGAGTCAGACCAGCTGAGGTTCTAACTTCCACTCAGGGCGTAGCCCTGTGAAAACACCCACTCGCCCACCCACTAGCTAAAACCCACAGCTGTTCAAACAGCCTGGCAGGGTCGAGCGAACTCCAACCGTTCCAAACCAGTCCTGGGGTCAGTTTTTGCCTGAGTAAAGTTTCTGAAGGAGGAACTGGGAACAAAAGAGGATTTCCCTGCAAAATCTTGAGACCACTCCGATGGCAAAGCCAACTCAGCCAACACAGCCTCCGAATTCTCTCTTTCCTGGGCTGAAAGACTCCGGCGACACTAAAGCGCTGTTTCGGTATACCCAAAATAGCTAGTCCGCGTCTTTTGGACACGCCCGTCATTTCAAAATATAATGGGCTCGCTATTCCAATGTCCCTGTAAACCTCATTCCACGGGGAGTAAGGGACATTTTGAAATAAAAATGCTTATTTCGAAATGAGTGCTGTGTAACTCATTTGGAAATAAGCTATTTTGAAATTGACTCGAAATAAGCTACACAATTTGTGTAGTTCAAATTGAAGAGCTTATTTTGAGCTACGGGTGCAGCATAGACGCACCCAAAGAGACCAGAGATAACCCTTTAGCCTTGCCATATTCTTTAAGCAGAGAAAGAGCAAAAAATAGCCCATCTGTTGTAGACCTTTGGTTCTAACGGAGGGGGGAAAAGTATGAGCTTAGGAATTAGATTCAGGTCACTGACCTAAAAGTGAGACACGACTTCCAAACATCAACAGGACTTTTCACAGCGGATATTCCTGCAGAGAAAGGATGCACAGTATCGGAGGGAGGGGGACCAATGATCAGTCATTTCAGGGGAGGGCTGATTAAACATGAGTCTAGGCCGGGGCCAGGTGGGACAAAGCTGAAAGCAGCAATGCAAATGGAAGTGCTGAATTTTAAAAGCCAAGCTCAGCAAGTAAGACAAGAACTGGGAATAAAACCAGTTCAGAGATTTAGCTGCTGATATATCAGGAGGGCATATTAATCAGATTC